CATAATGCAGGGGGGGAAGAACCACTGTATTCCTAAAGTTATATCTATGTAAAAAAATGCATTCATTAAATAAAAATTTAAAAATAAAAAAACAATGCCGTTTCAAACCAAGAAATTTCTTCATTAAGTTCTGAATTATCCATACCAATACTCCCTACAAGAGCAGAGAAAACCACAAGTTAAATGCACTTGAAACATAATGCTGTTCTTACCATAAGCTCTTGAGAATCCAGTGACAGTCTTGAGACTTTCCCACAGGTTGGTGCACAAGCTCAGCATCACAAGGTACATAAAAACAAAAGCTTCTACAAGGAATAGTCTGTCTCCTGGCTTTATCCCTTTGGACCAGGACAGCAGAGAAGCAGAAGAGTCACAATATACTCGTGCCTGCCCACTTGTCCCCAAGTTCCTGAACCAAAGCTCAATACTTCTCATTAAATCCATCCTTTGTTCAAGGACCTACAATGACTCTATTGACCTTTCTATCAACACCCAGCGGAGTCTGGCTGAGTCCTGTCCACCCTCTTGCCTGCTCTGCTCATGACTTGACCAACCCACGTTCTCTCCAGCCACTCTCATGTATTCATTCCCCCACATGCACTGTAGTCATTCAGTCATCACTGTACTCTGCACGTTCTATACTTTCCATCAGGAAGATCATTTCCTTTATTTTAGTCCTAAAACAGAATAATTACTTCATTTACTTGGATGCTCATGCTTATGTCATAGATAAGGGTAGGGAAGCAACTTGTCCAAGGTCACATAGTAAAAACCAGAATCAAGATTTAAACCAAAGTCCATCTAATGCCATAGCCCATAACTACAAGTAATCAATAGCATCCCAAGTCAATTTCACAATTACTGATCCAGAAATCTCTTCTAATTTATCACATCAATTCGTTTTTTGTCATTTCAAGTTTTCTCAGCTCTTACATATTCCATCTGCAGCACATTAAACTTGGTTTTGTTTTCTAACAAAACAAGGTCTGCCTTCCCATTACCGTACCACCTACCACCCTCCCTCCTCACCACCACCTTGATCACAAGGACAAGGACAACTGTCTTTTGTAACTTTTCTCTCTCCAAAAATTGCACTGAAGCTTGGAGCTCAAGTCATTAGAACTACACAGGGATGTTCTACATTATTCAACAAAGATTTATTTTTTAAAGAAAATAAAATTCCTTTCTCTGCCACATTAAAAAAAAATCAACTGAGGAGATCAATTGAGGGGCAGCCTTCTGGCATAGCAGTTAAGACATAACCCAGGGCCATCTGGGGAGTGAAACAATAAAGATTCTATCTCCCTCTCTCTCTTTCAAATAAATAAGCAAATCTTCAAAAAGAAAGAACGAACAAACGAACGAACGAACGAACGAAAGAAAGAAAGAAAGAAAGAAAGAAAGAAAGAAAGAAAGAAAGAAAGAAAATGAAAAAGACATAACTTGGACACCCACACCTCACATAGAATGCCTGAGTTCGGGTCCTGGCCCTGCTCTTAGTACCAGTTTCTTGTTAATGTGAAGCCTGGGAGGCAGCAGATGATGGCTCAAGTACTTGGGTCCCTGCCACCCACACAAGAGAATTCCTGACTATCAGCTTCAATCTGCTGAATGCATTTGGAGTGAACCAGTGGATAGAGATCTCTGTCCATCTGCCTATCTGTTCTTCTCTGCCTTTCAAATAAATAAATAATCAACTGAATTCAAGCATTCATGATAAAAACTGCCCTGAACCTATGTTCCAATTATACAATTTTTTTTTAAGATTGATTTATTTATTTGAAAGGCAGAGTTACCAAGAGGCAGAGGCAGAGGCTCCCCAAATGGCTGCAACAACTGGAGCCAGGAGCTTCCTCCAGGTCTCCCACACAGGTGCAGGGGCCCAACCACTTGGGCCATCTTCAACTGCTTCCCCAGGCCATAACGGAGAGGTGGATTGGAAGTGGAGCAGCTGGGACTCGAATCCATATGGGATGCCAACACTGCAGGCAGCAGCTTTACCCACTATACCACAGCGCCAGCCCCTATACAGACTCTTAATTATGCAAATTTATCAGGAGCTATTGAGACGATTCCAGGCTGATATTCCACAGCTTCTAAGTTCTCATAGGAAATATACAGCTGAGGTCACACGTTAAAACATTGTTTGAGGATTTTCCCTTTGGTGGGACAAGTGTTTGGGAAAAGGAGAGGGGTACTTCCCCACAGAAATAACTATACAAATACACACACACACATTATGATGACCTCTGTCGGCATCCTCTGAATGCTTGCTATATTTAGGGGCCCCAAAGATTTACAAGAAGCACTTAGCATCTCCAAACTTATTTTTGATACTTTTCCACTGTAATTCACCTAGTTATATATATTGAATCACCAATATTCCTAAGAAAACCTTCAAAGAAATGAACAGTGGGGCCAGCATTGTGGCACAACTGTAAGCTAAATCACTGCCAGCAATGCCAGCACCCATGTACACACCAGTTCAAGTTCTGGCTGCTCCGCTTCCCATCTAGCTCCCTGCTAATGTGTCTAGGAAAGCAGTAGAGGATGGTTCAAGTGCTTGGGCCCTTGCACTCATGTGGGAGACCTGGAAGAAGCTCCTGGCTTCGGCCTGGACCAGCCCCAGCTGTTGTGGCCATCTGGGGAGTAAACCAGCAGATGGAAGATCTGTCTTTCCCTCTCTCTGTAACTCTGTCTTTCAATTAAAAATAAAAAATTAAATCTTTTTTAAAAACATGGAATAGTGATAGCTACTGGGCTGCTCTAGTTATTCTTCAGTATATTCAAACTCTTCAATTTCCACACCCTAGAATAATATATGCAGTTCAACTAAAGAAAAGTTGGTATATACAGATATAAATACAAATTATCTATATATCATCCAATTCACACAGCTAAAGCAATCACTGACAGTCACCAGATCTGGGAAGGTATTGTGACTCTTAAAATTAGATTTTATTCTCCAAATTAAATCTTTTTTCAATAAGAGATCTCAAAACAAAGAGATTTAATTAGCTTTGGGAAAATTTCAAATTGTTGGTGACCTATGGCCACCAAAGTCCAACTAACAATTAGCATTCATTACTGCTTATCCTGCCTTACACAAGTCAGCAAGTCAGCGCACAGTCCTTTCTTTGGCAAAGTTTTGCACTGTTTTTCTTCTAAGAGAGTCTTTGATATTAAATGAAAGGAGCAAGTCAAATCAGGCAACAACAACAAAAATTAGTGACAGTTTGGAAACTATCTTCCTTCTGTCTTCCCTATTTGGATGCATAATGTCCAAAGCAGATATCTGTTCAATTCTAAATTATTCATGCTAATGGATAATTATTGGCAAAAAGGTGCTGATAATCCAAAACGGGGAAAAATCTAAACAAAATCTATTTTGGTTTTGGAATATATGTTTTGCGTATATTTACCTTCTCAATTATCCCTAGCATGAGCTAATATTTGTACGCACTTGCAATCTCTAAGTACATAGCAACTGGCCACTTAGGTGGGGAGGTGCTCCAAGTCATGCCAGTTGATAGTGGAAATTAGAACAGACTGCTATTCAGCCTGAAGATGAGCAACATGCATTTCAATTATTTTACAGTGCAGTTCAGCTTTCAGAATATCAATAGACTACCAGTCCTCTGTCCCAGTCTCTAGCTAATGTGCAATAGGTAATAGGTGATCTCTCAAGTGCCTGAGCCCCTGCCACCCACACAGGCGACTCAGACTGAGTTCCAGACTCCTGGTTTCAGCCTGAATGCTGTTGCCAGCATTTGGGGAGTGAACAAGCAGATGGAAGATGTTTGGCTGTGTGTGTCTGTCTGTCCTTCAACTACTGGGATTAGTCACCCTGTTGGACTAGATTTACCACCTGTTCTCTCCACTGTCCCTTCCCACCTATGAAACAGGTTCTAAAAGACAAAGAGACTCAAACGCCTCAAAGATCTCCCAAACAGTACAAGAAGCTAAAGACCAGCCTCTGATTTTTTAAATAAAGCATTCCTATAGTATTTATTAAAAGTTCAGGAGAAAAAAAAGCCAAAGGACTGCTAATCCTTGGCTTTACATTCATGAAAAGAAAACTGTGAAAATTGGGCGACGGGGGAAGGAACCCTTTTACATGAAAACATTTTTACAGTTTCCCTTGTCAGCTCCCTTTAACTTTCAAAATTTTACATGTGCATTGCGCCCAGAGAAGCCACCTAGGTTAGGCGGACAGACTGTACCAGGAGGGGGGAGCGCGCGCCTCGGAACGCAGCTCCTTTTGAGCCGACAAGCTAAAAATACGCCGGCCCAGTAAACAAATCCCATTCCATCCCGAACGGAGCCACACCGTTAACCTAGTAATTATGAGAAGGGTGAGATCACGCAGCCCCCGGCTTACTCATCATCAGCTTCTAAAGTTTCCATCGGCTCACGGCAACTTTGCCTTTTTCTAAAGTTCACAAGCGTGCCCTAGAATCTCTCAGGCGCGCGCACCACACACACACACACACACACACACACACACACACACCTTTTTCGCTCCCTTCCTCCATTACTGGACGCACCTCAGTTTGGCTACCCACAGGGAGAACAAGCTTGTTGTCTTTTCGTTTGACTTTTATACTGAGACGTTAAGATGAACTTTTATCCTACCAGGGGGCTAGGAGCCCGCACGGTAGCCACCTCACAAACTCCGCCATCCCTCCCCGAAAGTCTAGCTGACAAGAGGGGACCGTCCACACCGCCCCGCACAGCTCAGGAGGGGAGGCCAGGAACCGGGGAGGGTGGCCAGACACGCGGGACGCAGGTGGAAGGGAGGCGCAAAGGAGAAAAGGTTGGGACGAAGCGAGGAGCGGCCAGGGCGAGGAGGGGGTGCCCGGGAGAGATGGCTTCGGGTGAGATACAATCAGAAAGCAGCAGGGGGACAGTGGAGATCAGAGGGGCAGAGTTTGGGAGTCGGAAGAGGCGGGAGGGGCGGGAGCGGACGGGAAAGGGGTCGGGGCGGGGGGCTCCGTTACCCTCGCGACTCCCGGGGCAAGGCCCTAGGCCGGGGCGGAGCACGGGGCCCGGCCGCCTCTCCTCATTCCTCGGCAGTGACCCCCGGGTCCGACCGGCCCCTCCCCCGACGACGATGGAGGCGGAGGCGGCGGCGGACACTGCGACCGGGGCTGTTGCTCCACACAGGACCTGGAGCTGAAGCCAGACGGGACTGATCGGGATTGGCCTCCCTCTGTGGCTTTTTGCCTGCTCCACACCCGGTCGCCACTCCGACTCCGGCGGCTGGTTCAGGATCGGTGGCTTTCGGCCGTCCGGCCGGAAACAAGCGCCAGTTTCCGGCCGGAGCGGGTTGGTGGTGACACCCAAGCCGCCCCCGGGCCTCCTCCCGCCCCGCCCCGTAGCAGCCCCGCCTTCAGCGCCGCTCCCGGAGCTGCGGCCGGTTTGGCGCTTGCCCCGCGCGTGACCCCGTGTTTTCCAGGCCCGCGTTCCTAATGCCCGTGGTCTGGAGCATTCTTGAACCGGAGCTGGGGGGAGGGAGGGGGTGGACCGGGTGGATTCTTGAGACTTCGGGGCAGAATTAGTTGGCCCCAGCCCTTTGGCAAGGAGCGGAAAGGGGTGGGGTGGTTCTGGAAAGGTGAGAGGTACGAAAGTACTTTAGAACGAGGAGACTGAAATTCTGGTTCACCTACACAGCTGTTCTGGACTGACCAGAGGAAAATGAACGCTTCTTTCAGACCGGGCTCCGGCTGGTTGTGCATGTCCCTTGCTACTTCACTCTTGAAGTGGACTACCCTTCTCAGTAAATACTTGGTATTTGTTTACTAGCCTAATGGTTATTGACACGTCTGCCTTAGACTGTTAGGCATAATCCAAACAAGTTAGGTTGGGGCCGGACTTGGCGGCCAGCCAGTTAAACTGCTGTTTCTGATGCCCACATCCCATACCAGAGCGCCTGGCTGGAGTCCTGGCTACCCTCTCTGATCCACCTTCGTGCTTATGCACAACCCCGGGAGGCAGAGCCGATGATGCAAGCGCTTAGGTCCCTGCCATCACACTGGGGGAGACCCAGATGGAGTTCCAGGTCCCTGACTTTGGCTTGGCCCAGCCCTTTCTGTTGCAGCCCTTTGGGGAGTGAACCAGCAGATGGAAGATCTCTCTCTCTCTCTCTCTCTCTCTCTCTCTGCCTTCAAGGAGATGGAAATAAATAAACATTTTTTTAAAGTTATGCCGCATTTTTGTTTGTAAAGCTTTTTACAACATTAGAGCATAATTCAATTCAGATACTTATTGAGTCCCTACTCGGTGCCAGACATTGTGCTCAGTGATACTGAGAATAGAAAAATCAACAGACATAATCCCAGATATCTAAGATCTTACAATTTAGTAAAGTACATAAAACAGTATTGTATAAGGCAGAACTCACATATGTGCTGTAAAAATTATAACGTGGCATGGTTATGAGAACATAAATAAAGCCATTCCTGCCTCTCAGACCTTCCACATGTGTTAAATGAATGTGTACATGGCAGAAGAGCGAGAACTGTTTGGGGTGAGAAGAGCTGTTTAACTCTCTCTTAAAAACAAGCACAAGGGGCCGGTGCTGGGGCGCAAGCGGGTTAATGCCCTGGCCTGGGGCGCCGGCATCCCATTTGGGCGCCGGTTCTAGTCCCGGATGTTCCACTTCAAATCCAGCTCTCTGCTGTGGCCTGGGAGAGCAGTGGAGGATGGCCCAAGTCCTTGGGCCCCTGCACCCGCGTGGGAAACCTGGAGGAAGCCCCTGGCTCCTGGCTTCGGATCGGCGCAGTTCCAGCCGTTGCAGTCAATTGGGGAGTGAACTATCAGATGGAAGACCTCTCTCTCTCTCTGCCTCACCTCTCTGTGTAACTCTGACTCTCAAGTAAAAACTAAATAAATCTTTTTTAAAAAAAGCACAAAATGAATCCATACTCTGCTATCTTCTAACCAAAGAAATCCTAAATCTTAATTCTGGTTCCTAACACTGTGGCCTGCACATCCAAAATAATGCTTCTTGTGTACATTGTGCCCATTAGGCCTATGTAAAACAACTATCTCAGTAGACTTTTCTTTCTAAAGGGGAGGGATAGAACATAGATATTTTAGAATTATCCAGCTCACACTAGGAAAGCAACACCTGAGACAGGTCTCTTCCCAGGCAACTGTACAGGGGATACCCTTGAGTTAAGAGCTGAAGGGCTGGGACTGGGCCTAGGGCCCTACCTGCAAGCCAAGACCAAGCAGGTGAGAGTGCTTTGCATGGTGCATGCTCAGGACCTACAGTATAGATTGACAGGTGGAGCCATTTGGGGACTACACTTTGGCTACTGTTCAGGGGCAAACTGAGGGAGTAGGATGAGATTTGGTCACCTGTGTTGATGCTAACTGAGTAATATTGGTCATACTGACCCCTTACCCCTTGCTAGCTAAATCCAAGGTAAGAAGGCAGATCCACAGACGAGGAGTTGCACAGTCTGGAAGCAGCTTTGTCTTGCCAGGGCCCTCCAGATTTATGAAGTCCGGAGAAACTTCAAAAAATTTGTGGAAAATGGAATTAAAAAGTTTATTTTGGTGCAAAAACTGTTAAACACATGCATAGTTTTTTCGTAATGTGCATTTCCCACAAACTTTCTGATACATATTTCATACTTTTTCATATTATTTCAAACTTTTCATGCCCTATTTCAACTTTTTTAACACCAAAATAAGTTTATCTTTTAGTCCCATTTTCCACAGACTTTTTGAAGAACCTTGTATGTCCTTCCAGTCTTCACTGCACTATCATGGACTTGTTAGGGCCAGGTATGGAGCTCAAAGGCACTTCCCCGTCTCAGTACAAGACACACTTTTTCTTTTGGCAGTGACCACAGATTTGAAAGCTGAGCCAAGTTGCTGGTCAAAGTCATTTAAGTGACCACACATTATAGGCTTGCCTGGAAACCTAGGGACCAGGAAGTGATGGGGCTGCAGTTGCTTTGTGCCTGTTTCTTGCTCTGACCATCCATCATGCATTGTTGTTTGTGCAATTGCTCAATGGGCTGCTTGTCTTTGGTCAGCCCAGGCTGTGTGGGTAGCAGTGTGGTCAGCTGGGCTGGGAGCCAGGCCACCTGGGTTCTGGTCCCAGCTCAGCCAGCCCCTAATCTATTAAATGGCTCCCTTCCCATTCCTATGTGGCAATTTCTCTGCCTAGAAACTGGGTTATCTGTTTGTGTGTGTGTGATGTGCTGCCATTCAGGCTGTCACTGCATTGGATGCTTAGAAGGAGCTTTCTGATACAGTTGTCACAGCAGCCAACAGCAGATTAGAATAATATGGAGGTAGAAGAACAGTAAGGAAAGAAAGTAAAAGCAGCAGAGAAAACCCCTATACCAGTGTAAACAAGGGCACACACCCTTACCTGCTACTCAGTGCAAAGTTCTTTCCACCTAAAGATCTGTTTTCGTTTGCTCAACTTAACGCTTCTAAGGGCTGCTTCTAGGAGCTCTCTGAACTTTTTAAAGCAAGAGTAGAGAAACCAGATCTTTGCATTTCATCAGAGAAACTAAAAAAGACTTTTTCAGTATTGGAGCTAATGGCAAAAAATGTTCAGAGAAAGCTATTTTGCAGCTAACTAGGGAAAAAAAAGAAATTATTTACATTTAAATGCTTTTGTGGTGGAAAAGAAAACCAAACCAAAATAATTTCCTTTCCACTACCACCACTATAATTTAGACCAGTGGTTCTGCGGAGTTTTTTTCTAAACTATATACTATACTAGGAATCTCAGAATGACTTAGAATTCATGGGACTCAAGTGTATGAATCTATATTTTTAAAAACTATCCAAGGTGCTTTTATAAAATTAAACAAATTTCTACCCTATAACCCAACTCTCCCTCTCTCAGGAATTTACTCAATAGAAATGAAAACATATGTCCACACAACACATAAACACCTTTTATTGTTAAAGATTTATTTTATTTATTTGGAAGGTATAATTACAGAGAGAGAGGTCTTCCATCTGCTGGTTCAGTCCCCAAATGACCACAACAGCCGGGCTGCACCAGGCTGAAGCCAAGAGCCAGGAGCTACATCGGGGTCTCCCACATGGGTGCAGGAGCCCAAGGACTTGGGCCATCTTCCACTGCTTTCCCGACACATTAGCAGGGAGCTGGATCAGAAGTGGAGCAGCTGGGACTCGAACCAGCGTCCACATGGGATGCTGGTGCTGCAGGTGGCAGCTTTACCCACTATGCCATAGTACTGGTCCCGCTTAAACAGCTTTATTCATATTCAACCCAAACTAGAAACATCTCAAATATTCACTAACAGAAAAATGGAAAATTATGTTATTCATACAAGAGTATACAATTTAAAAAAAACTAAACACAATGATATGGATGAATCTCAAAAATCATTTTTTGAGCAAAAAAAAAAACCCTCCATTTATATTAAATTCAAGAACAGGCAAAATAATCTTGATAATAGAACTCAGAAACATGATTACCTATGGGGGGGCAGCGTGGAGGAAGCTGAATAATAGTAGAGGAGATATTTGGGCTTTTTAGGGTGATGGAAACATCAGTATCTTGCTAAGGGTGGCTCTTACACATGCATATCACATTGTGTACTTAAGATCATTGTGTATTCGGCTGGCACCACGGCTCAGTTGGCTAATCCTCCGCCTGCGGCGCTGGCACCCGGGGTTCTAGTCCCAGTTGGGGCGCTGGATTCTGTCCCGGTTGCTCCTCTTCCAGTCCAGCTCTCTGCTGTGGCCCGGGAGGGCAGTGGAGGATGGCCCAAGTGCTTGGGCCCTGCACCCGCATGGGAGACCAGGAGGAAGCACCTGGCTCCTGGCTTCGGATCGGCGCAGCGCGCCGGCCGTAGCAGCCATCTGGGGGGTGAACTAATGGAAGGAAGACCTTTCTCTCTCTCTCTCACTGTCTAACTCTGCCTGTCAAAAAAAAAATCATTGTGTATGAATTTGATTTTAAAAATAGAAAAAAAAAATTCAGGTATCCTTCATAACACTTACCCAGGCTATAAAGTCATATTCACTGTGGATTATTTGATTGGTATTTGCTTCATCCAAAATTAGATCTGAAGTTCCATGAGGAAAAAATTTCATTTTATGTATAGTACCTAGCATAGTATCTGACCCATGGCAGTCATTCATTAAAAGGCTGGTGAGTGAACTGGCTCACTCAACTTGAGAATCATTGCTTCGAGGGCTCATTATTTTACATCCAGACTCAGAATAGCAAAACTGAGTCTCTCGATTCCCAGTTCCTCTATCTGCTTGCACACCATTGCTAGTTTGTGCTTCTTAAAAATATATCATTGGT